GTACTTTTAAGGCTAGGCACTAAATATCTATGCCCATCTTTTGTGCCAGCTGCCTAAAATTTTGCTGGACATGGGCACATGCCGGGCTGCAGAACCCTAGTACAGTACATGCAGTATCTACACTTGATAAATTAAATAAAAATCATTCGAGTTGCAAAGCCTTTCTGTGGCAAAGTTTAATTGGTAGTACAAACAATTTAGACGTAACGATAAACATTACAGTATCGATAGTATGAGATCAAAAGTAATATGACTTATATCAGATGCTTCAATGTTTGTTTGTTGAGCTTCTTAAAAAAAAACATTAAGCCTTTATTTTTTGGTTATTCAACGTAGCAATGGATTAAATTTTCATGTTCTTACCTAAGAAATTTTTCATAAATCAATACACGCAAATTATATGGCAAAAGCAGAAAAGAAACCTTTTTGGTTATATTTGTTAACTGTACCGAATTTTATTCTTATGTTCGTATGTCCCATACTTGGTAAGTTTGATGTGTTTATTCGCATAGTGAATTACTGTAGTACTTAACTTTCTTTGTTATGACAACGAACGTAGAAATAGTAAAAATCAGAATATTCGATGAGACCAACGGTGAACTTGAGTACAATAAAGGTGCTGAATATGCGTAAGTGCTTGCATTTTGATTTAGATATAAAAGTATTAAAAGAACTTGTTTAATACTTTTATAATTTTTTTGGCATTCACATAGATATTTAATATTCACATGGGCAGTACTTGGTAATGATATTTTATTATAAATTGCAATAAAAAAAGGTGTTTCTCACATACTTATTCTATTTAAATGTTACAATGTAGTATTGAATGCATTGGCATTTTGTGGTTGTTATATATTTAATATACGGGAATATAACTTTGAATTTAGGTAACTACTGATATTTTATGTGTGTTTACAGTGTATGACTTACATTTACAATTCAATTCAATTCTTTTCGTGTGCAGGATAACATCGTGTGCTTGGGTATTATTTCCAAGTATGTTTGTAATGCTATGGTTTTTATATGACAACCTCTTTTTGCAAATTCTTAACTTATATAAGGATTTTTTTTTTTTTAAAAAAAAAAAGTAGTCTACACGTACTTTACTATCAGAGAAATGGGTAACATCCCATTCTCATGTCCATACACCTATCCTTACTCCTCAAACCTAATTCGTCTGGCTTGTCAAATTCGTATAATAAATTTTATTTGCATGTGGCTATATTTTAGTAGTTTTGTACTTTTAATGATTATTAATTGGTATTTACGACATTATGTAAATGGTAATGACGCAAAGAACAGAAAAAAAAAAGGCGGGAGTACAGATAAAGAAACTGTAGAAGTTGAAAATCAAATAGAATCTCCAGAACCAGCTGTTATTAGGTCTAATGATAATAAATGATGGTATGAGAGATATTTTGCAATAAGAATTTCCAATTAAAATAGCTCATTTCATAGCTAAAAACGTAAAAAATTTCTTTTTGATTAATATTATATTATTTACTTTTTATATAACTAGAAATTGAAAATTTTCAATACAATTTCATAGTGCATCAATCTTTTGATCTTTTTATTTTGACTTGCTGTAACATTAAAATTTCTTTAGCCACCTTCCATTATTTCAAAAAAAAAAATAATAAGCCTTTTATAGTTTAAAAATGTTTGACCGAGAACTTCTTATTCTAAGAATAACGAAGAAAAAAAATACTGTACATATCTTGGAGCATGGCACGAAGCGTAGTTACAATCACGAACATTATTAACTTATAAACATCTTTATAGCAATTAGGATAGTTGACAACGTAATCGCACTAAACTATTAAACATAGTGCTTGGATCCGTGGCATCCGACTGTTTTTTGCACAATCCACCGGATTTTTATATCTGGTCATAAAGTATTCGATGAAATCTGAAATAATTTTTTTCGCTAAAAATAAACTTTTTTTTTTCGCAGAAACACATAAATTCGTTTAAATAACTAAGTTTTAGATAATAAAATTCCCTGCGTTGTTAAAATGTTATTCATTGGGTAAAAGATAGCTGGAAATATTTGCTTGCCATTTTGCTTAGTATCGTTTATTTTACCCTACTCTTTATTCTTGGTTCTTTAGATTGATTATTGTTCAACGAAAGTGTTGTGGTTGCAATATCCACCAAATAAATATAGTAAAGCTTTTGCTAAAACTAAAATCAGCACAGAGATTCTTTCTTTTGCTTTATTTGTCTACTGATACAAGTTTTAGAAGTTTATCAAGATAACAAAGTATAAAGTTTAATCATACACTAATCAAATTTCTCTATGCCTTATTTTTTATGATGCTCAAATTACTTTTCATAAAAAACATCTACCGGATAAAATAGTCTATATCCATTGGATCATCCAACGAAAACAGATCCAAGCACTAATTAAACATATATTAGATCTTTGATTTGTTAAGAATTTTATTTATAAGTTTATATTGTGTTAGCATTATTTAAAATAATATAGATGATGTATTATGAGACAATAAAATTTTCGGATTTTATATATAAAATTTATTAAGATATTAATATTTAAAATTTACTCTGATTATACCGGAATTTGGATATAACGACACCATAGTAAAATCTTTCTATACCGACATTTTTTTCAAAAAAATTAATATAAAATGTCGGTATAACTCACTATATCGACATTTTGAATTTTTTTTACTAATGTCCAAAAAATATCGATATAACCAGAGTAACGTGTAGAACTTTTACATCCATTAACTAATTTGCACTCATCGGGATACAATCCGTTTATTTTAAATATAAAATCTTATCTACGTGCTATCTATTTGGATTTGGACGCACATACTATCAAGCTTGGCTACTGGACTATACAATGTTATATGTTGTAAGAAATGTTTTACGCATGTGAGCTTAATGTTATTCTCACACGCTTAGTCATCTAAGCACCGTGCATCAGTTTGAATCTAAGTTAACAGTTAATCCATTATTTTATAAATACGTTCCTGGTATTTTTAAGGAAAGATTATATAACACTTTATCATTTTCGAGGCGACAAGAAAATCGTAAATTATCATTTTATTATTAAATTAATACAGTAGTACATGTTTGGAATAATTTGCTAATTGGATGTTGCGATACATGTTTAATGAATCCAGATGCATTCATATCGATATGCTTTATACGTAAAATAGCATTAAATTCAAAGTACTATTCAAACCCACTACAATAAATTCTTCGCTCAAATTTTTATTAAAATATGCGAAATGTGTCTTTTATTATTCTTTATGTACTTTATTCTAAGTTTAGGTAGTATTTATTCTCAGTTTTTTATGGATTGTTTTTTTTTCCACATATTTTTTTTGGATTTTTTTTGACAGTAAGATGATTTGATAATCACTGGTCGTCAAAGACATTACCGTAAATTGCCGTATAAAAGACCAGGGTCTTTTACACTTCACCAAAAAATTTAATTAGTAAAAAAAATAAATTAATAAGAGGGGTGTCTTTTATACGGCAGTTTATGGTAATTACCGACTATAGCGAAGGAATTTGGATAATTACTTCTAAATTCGTGTTAGATCTGTTATAAAAATAACAAATTTATTAGCTTTATAATTTCCTACATGATTAAACTTCAGAAGCAATATAGAGCATCTAAAACAATTCTAGTAATACAGTAATATACAGTATATAAGATTTATGGGTGTATTGGTCTTGAAGATACTACCATTATGAAAGTTAGCATGAACATTTTTGCATATACTAGTAAGTTATAACCAGCAAATCATAAGAAATATCTTTAAATAAATAATTTATTCTAAAATAAGTTCTCTAAAATTATATTTTTAATTATTATGAATTTCTGTTATCAAGTGTTCATTTGTTTGTTTCTTGGTTATTACAGTATGTGAGTATAAAGATAATTTATTAACATTTCTCAGTAGGATTAAAATCACAAATACAAATACTTAAGTGTTTATAAATACTATTAATTACTCAATATCTTTTGAATATTGTGTGAAGGAGTATAAAGATAAATTAAAATAATAAACACGAATACAGTATTTATTCATAAATACTTTAATATCTCTAGACATATTTAAGCATTACTTAGTGTAATTAAAATCATAAACTAGAGATAAGGCCCGTAAAAAATGTTCATGCTAACTTTCATAATGGTAGTATCTTCAAGACCAATACACCCATAAATCTTAT